CCCCCCCCCCCCCCCCCCCCCCCCCCGGGCAAACAGTCTATGTTTGCTGGGGGTGGGAAATAAAACTTTCTTTGGAAATTTAATCAAGTTTCGGGGCACCTGATCATCCTCACAGTTCAACCTTTAGAAATGCACCTAGTTTAGTTTGGTGCCTCAGCAGGTTTGGACTTTAATGATTCCAGTGTTCAGGCAGCAAAAGCCAGAGAAACAATAGAAATGACAGAGGCGGGAGTAACAGGAGAGTGTTGGAAACCATTTAGGTAGCATAATAAAGAACAAACGCATATATGCACCTTCACTTATGGAAAACTAGAAATAAATTTTTAAAGAAAATTATGGTTTAAACTGGATATGACAGGAACATGAGAATGGTAAAAAAACAAAAACCTTTGAGGTTGCTTTCCTGTTGTCCAGCAGCAGGTTTGTCGTTGGGGTTGCTATGTGGGTTTTTTCCTCCTTTTTTTTTTTTTTTACAGATGGGTGGGTATACATGTGTGTGCTAGAGTCAAAACGTGATTAGAAAGTAAAATGAAATCATGTTTTCTAATGCAGAAACTGACAGGCAATATAATGTCTGGCTGTGTTTACAAATTAGCACTAGGGCTGCTGAGATAGAAGATTTCACAATCGTTACCAAACACAGGCATTACCATTTAAAAAACTATTACTTCCTTCTCTAGTCTTTGTCCAACAATAATACTGATTCGAACATTTTCCATTCTGTCTTGGATTTATGCTCCTGTTAATTGTGCCTGATCGCAATGATTCCGGGTGGATGGTACTAAGTTGCTTTATTACAGGTTTTATTATACTCAATGCTCTCATTTGTAACTTGCCTAAAGTGCTTCTGGATTTAAGTATAATTAAATTGAGAAATGTTCAGAAATGACTACTGCTGCAGTTCTTGTGTTTTAACTATATGGGGAAATATGATCCCTTTATGCATGCACCCTAAACCCATAAAGTAAATGTAGTGTGGCATAATACTTTTATTTGTGTTATTTCTAGACCTTGTCCATACAGGGAAGACTGTTAAGTTTAAAACCCCACTGAGGTATTAATGATTAAATAATTTTCACCATTGATTTGATTTTCTTAAATATTTAGCAGTCATTCTTATTAAAGGTTAACTGTTGCAACAATGGGAAAATTGAAAACAACCCTTTTCCTGACCCAAATTCCTTTGAAAATTTTTTTTCTTAAAAGGTGGGGGAGGGAGAGGGAAAAGCAGCAACTGGGTTTCCTTGTTTTTATTTGATCTTTTAGTTAAATTCTACTGACCAATTTTACCACGAAGAGTGACTATACAGGTTTTAAGAATTCATACCAGCCACCTTGGAATTTTTGCAAATTAGAGCAATTCTAATCCATGGTAGTTCCAAAAGCTTGTAACCTTATTTTGCAATTCAAATATCTCCAAAGAGCATGGAAGGAAAAGGATTCAGAGCCTCTTTGGGAAAGGGAACTAAAATGATCATAACTTTCAGTTCTTTTTTAAATTGCTCTTTTATAAATTATTGCTCCTCTCATTTTACTCTCCCCACCAAATGCACTAAGTGTCAGTTTCTAAAAACATGTAAGTATAAACACACACACACACACACACACACACACACACACAATGCTTATTAAACCTTACACTGGATCAAGTGGCTACTTTCCTGCTTCCCATGTAAGGCTGTTCAACATAACCAACAAATTTCAGTGATTAACTGAGCCAAATGAGAGATGTAATAAATTTTCTATTTTCCTATGGAACTTAAATAACGTTTTAAATTCACCAAGCAAGCAGGTAAGTTCATCTGACCATTTTCTTTACAATCTAATGCAGTAATCATTAAACTGTCAACGGACATACTGCTGCATTATTTGATGCAGTAATTTGAAATAGCATTTTAGCAAAAATCACATCCAGATACATTTCCTCTCCAAAGAAAAGCAGCTTTAACAGAAGCCTTTACAGCTTTAATAAAATTATTGACTTGCTCTAATTCCATTTCAGGAAGGTTGTGAGGAAACCATAAATATATAGAATTAAAGCAGAGATGCTGGTTTAAATTTAATTTCAGAAAGTATTTTCAAATTATCAATAACCTGGTTTGCATTGCAAATAGTAAATGTGCTAATGCCATGCTTATTTAGAAATCACTTTAAGCTGCATTTATTGATAACTGAATTAGAACTCAAATAACGTATTACCCAATAGTCTCAAAACATTTAATATGGGGTGTAGCAGGTTCTGATAGGCGTTGGGAACCCAGCTAATGATTTATGAGGTCACCACTTAGCACCCCTAGGAAGAGAAGAAGGCTGCATTTTAATGTCCCTCTGCTTGGATTTGCTACTTACTTTTCTTTAATCAGCATAGGCTGTACACGTAACTTTTGGGTTTCACCAGTGTTTACACAATCTGGTTAAAATAATCTTCTTAGTTCGTCTTTTACACTTTCTTTTACACTGAGAGGGCATTTAATGAGTTCTTTTGGTTGAATTTAACATCTTTACCAGGACAGGGAGAAATCCCCACGCCAGACTCAGCGGTCAGATTAGATCCTCTCGCAATCGAAACAGTTTACTGTCGTCAGAGGGGAAGATATTGTTAACGGTGACATTCGTCTGATTTATTTCTGTGTTGATGGAAATGGTAATGCAGGCATTGTTTGAGGGAGCTCCAGGAACCATTGTTCTGGGGGCAGAACTCGCAAATACTTTTAATTTTTTCATTTGGCTGTCTATGCGGGTCCTTGAAGCGTCCCACCAAAAAATAAAACCAAATGTGTAAAAAAGAAAATACCATTGAGAAAACCCGGGCCCACCGGCTGTGTGCTTCTCGTATCTTCTCTGGGGGTAGGTGAATAGGGGGCTGCGTTCTCTCCCGCACTGCCCGCGCGGCCTCTTACCGGGACGTCCTCGATGGCGTGAGGTAAGGAGTGGATCGGGAGGTCTCCGAGTCCTGAGCCGAGCCCGTGTGGGCCGTGCAGGAGGTCCTCGTGCCGCCGGTAGTCCCTGCGAGGATCCAGGCCCGACAGCTGGTGGGGCAGCCCCCGGTGCGTGTGCAGGAGCCCAGACTCCTGGCTCTGCCTCTGGCCGGGCCAGCCCGGGTGCTGCGGCTGCGGCTGGGCGTGCAGGGGGTTCAGGCTGTAGGGGTCGTTGACGTGGGAGTAAGGATCTTGCGACTGGGGGTAGATAGGCTGGTAGGGTGGGGGGAAGTAGGGGGGCTGGAAGTCGGCATTGGGGGTGTGGGACAGCGGCGGGGCGCTCGTGTAGGGAGATTGACCTACAGTGCCCAGCTGGGGCAACCGTGCCGTCCCGTTGCTGGTGCCGTCGTGACGGTCCTAGAAGCGAGAGGGGCAGAGGAAGGAACAAGAGATCAGGCGCTGAGTTACAGCCGTCCGCACGACAATCCACTCGGCCAGCCTGCGTGGGAAACCGCCCGTTCCCGGCGGCAGACCGCCGAAGAAAAGCAGCTCGCAGTGGCTCAGCTCGGAAAATAACCGGGAAGCCAAACAGGCCCTTCCAAAAACGCAGAGTACTTATGCTGGGTAAACGTGGGGGCACGAGAGACTCTAAGGCGTTTCTTTCAAACGGGGGGGTAAAGAGAGAAAAGGGTCTCCTGCGATACAGCCGGTTACACTGCAGCCTGAAACCTCCTTTAAGCAAAATTAAAATTTCTACTATTAAACGGCCTTTTCTTTCCCCCTGGATTTTAACCTGTCTGCCACTGCGTGTTGTTTACTGTCTTCCATTTATTTGGAGGGGGGAAAAAATCACAAACGTTCAAAGACTATTACCATTTCATGACTATTTAAATAGAAACATATTTCGCAGAGGGGCTGTAACGAAAGCACACGTTTAAATTACCAGCATTAGAAAGGTTTTAGCTGCAGGATCGGGGTCTGTCTTTTCCGCTTCCTCAGTTAGGAGCCTTTTTCTGGACAGGGTCGATTTATGGTATGGATGAGGAGAGGGGGACGTAAAGTCAAGGTTTAAAATAGAAAGATTCAGCCTTATTGGGTTTAAAACAGAGAGGTGCACACCGGGGAGGAGGCCCCCGCCCCTTCCACCCTAGCCCCAAAGGGCAGAAGGAAGGCCTGACTTTCTGTTCCTCTACTACAATGCGCTTGCAAAACAAGCCGACAGAGTTGATCCAGGGAATGCGAACCCTCAGAGGTTCAGCCGCAGGCCCCGAGGGTAGGGGGCACACCGGGCTGCGTTTTTCCTGCAGACACATTACACATCAAATGTTGAGAACGTCTCGGGAACAAGCGAAGACGCAAGGAAATCAAAACGAACGTGGCGAGAAACACGCCTCGGGAAGCGGCGGCGAGGTAGGTCTGCGTGCGCGGGGAGGTCGGGGCGGGGGTGGCGATGCACTCGGTCTAGGGATGGCAAAGAGCGAGAGAAAGGAGGAAAGGGGGACATGCAGACGGAGGGGGTGTCCTGAAGGGAACCTGGGCGTGAAACCCGCGGTCTCGGGCAGCTCCGCGGCACCAGCTTCCCAGAACAGAATTCCTAAAGAAACAGGGACGGGGGCGGGGGTGGGACTCACCATAGCTGAAAAACTGTGAACTAACATCTGCGAAGAGTCTGGGGTACCGAGTCAGGGTGGAAAAAGCAAGCGAGCCTGGGGCGCCCGGCTGCCCTGCCGCCCGAGCGTGCCCCACACAAAAGGCGCCGAGAGCCCCGCGCTACCCGGGACTCCAGTCACCGCGCCGACGCTGCCCCGCGCGCGGGAGCCTCGCTCGGATCCATCCGAACTGGAACCACCGATTCGCGCGGCGCCTTCAGCTGGTCGAGCCCACGGTCTCTATCCTGCCGTGATCGGTTATGATTCAAAGTTCTTTTTAAAAAATTAAAAAAAAAAAAAAAACCCAAAAAGGAAAAAGTGTGTGTGAGTGTGTGTGTGCGTGCGTGTTCCTTAATCCGTGTCTCCCCCTCTTTTCTTAGCGGTGGCTTCGCTTGAGCTTCTAATAGCCGCGCTGGGCAGCGTTCCTGGAGCCTCCTAATAGCAGATATTCATGACTATTAATATTACACGAATACTTAATAAGGGAAGAATGCCTGGAAATCGAGCGTGAAGCGGAGAGGCAACTCGCGCCGGAGCCGGCTCTCAATGCAGTCCATTGACGGGAGTCTCAGTGTAGCAAATCGGAGGTGGGGACAGGGAGCGCGAGAGACAAAAAGCGGGCGACAGAGGGAGCGGGCGAGCGCGCGGGGGGCCGCGGCGCGGCGTCTGGCGAATCACAGGGAAGGGGCAACATTTTAAAAGGTGGCAGGGCATGCAAAAGTGAAAGAGAAAGAGGGAGCGAGGGAGACCGAGGGAGACCGAGGGAGAGAGCGCACGGAGGGAGAATGTGCCTGCGTGCGTGCGTGTGTGAGAAAGAAAGTGTGGGCGACCGAGAAGAACCCGGAGTGGGGAGGAGGAGGGGAGGGGAGGGG